GAGCACATGTAGAATAAATAGACGATTACAGTCGTATCTTTAGAATTAAGTTTTGACGCCTAAATAAAAAGATTAGCGCAAGGAACAAAATTGTGTGTCTAGCGCGTGAGAAATCGACGATTTATGACTGTTTAGCCATGAAACCGAGCAATATTTTAGTTGATCTCTTTCTAAGAGATGGCGTTGCAATATGTTAAATAAGAACAGATGAATGCGTTTGAGTGAGACACAACGAAATATAATAAGTATAAGAAATGAATGAAAGATGTCACTATTATCGAATTTAGAATTTAAAAAAGTCTGTACTATCGGCCTTGATTAACTTCGCCCGTCACTCCAGCATCCCCTTAAGGGGATGCTAAACCGATTACCCAACTCAATCAAGGTCGATAGTACAGACGTTTTTAATTCCAATTTCGATAATAGTGGCGACATCTTTGATTTAGTTTTTAGATTATATTATATAATATAATCTAAAAACTAAATCAAAGATGTCGCCACTATTATCGAAATTGGAATTAAAAACGTCTGTACTATCGACTTTGATTGAGTTGGGTAATCGGTTTAGCATCCCCTTAAGGGGATGCTAAACCGATTACCCAACTCAATCAAGGTCGATAGTACAGACGTTTTTAATTCCAATTTCGATAATAGTGGCGACATCTTTGATTTAGTTTTTAGATTATATTATATAATATAATCTAAAAACTAAATCAAAGATGTCGCCACTATTATCGAAATTGGAATTAAAAAAGTCTGTACTATCGACTTTGATTGAGTTGGGTAATCGGTTTAGCATCCCCTTAAGGGGATTCTAAAGTAAAGCACGAACTCTGACGAAATCATTAGATATCGCGCCGCGCATCGCACATCGATGTTTTTTTATACTAATAAAGTACGAACTCTGACGAAATCATTAGATATCGCGCCGCGCATCGCACATCGATGTTTTTTTATACTACCACAGCAATATCTCACTCAGACTATGATAGGAACTCCGCACAATAAAAGGAACAGAGAACAGAGAACAGAGAAGAATTTCAACCTATCAGAAACTGTGTATTCCACAATACATGATTTCTGATAGGTTGAAATTCTTATTCTCTGTTCTCTGTTCCTTTTATTGTGCGGAGCACATACACGCAGTTACACGTACGTGTCAATTTTCGTATAAGAA